AGTAAAAAGTTTTGTTTGTTTGTTTGTTTGTTTGTTTGTTTTTGCAGTTTTTGGCCAGCACCAGGTTTGAACCCGCCACCTCTAGTATATGGGTCAGCACCCTACTCCTTTGAGCCACAGGTGCCAACCCAAAGGTTTTTTTTTTTTTTTCTTAATTTTGTGAGTTAGTTGGTATTTCCTTTTATGGATCAGGCTTTTGGTGTTAGGCTCTAGCCTAGTTTGGAATGTAGTCTGAAAGTGACTCTGCCTCACTTCTCCTTGCCATATAAACATTTAAACATAAGCTTCTGAATTTCATGATTCTGGACTTTTTAGCATATAGACAAGTGAACTTAGAGAAAATGAATTGAAACTAAAGGAAATAAAACCTTGAGTCTACTAAATTTGGATAATACTAAGTTAAAATATATATGGCTGTATTATAAAACTGGGTAGTCCTGGTGGTAGTGTGTGTTCTAAGTTTCAAATTACTTTATGCCAGGATTATGCTGTGCATTTTATTATCTCAAAAACTCTACAGTATAGATACTATCTCCATTTATACATATGCATATGTGTGTACATATGCATATTATTATTCCAGGTTTACAGTTGAGATTCAGAGAAGTTAGTTAATTGTGCCCATGGTCCCATAATAAATGACAAAACCACAACTTAACGCCAGTTATTTCTGGTGTCAAATCCTATTCTCCTTTAACAACTGCCTTGTGTGTTTTGTTGCAGTATCCGCTTTATGCAACCCCTAAGACTCAAACCTGACTTTGGTTTTGACATGGTTGTGCCTGTTACCCTCACAGTCCATACATTATCTGACTTTCAGCTTTTTATAGTAAGCTAGTACTTTTTTTGTTTTATCAACATTAATGTTAATATTGGGTACCTATTTGGCTGTAATTGAAATCAGACCTTTTTCTTTGCATTTCGTTTCTTGAATTTAAATTTGAAATATGATTAGACAGGAATTCAAGATACAGTTCTAACACAAAGCATTAATGAGAATTTAAGTTTTACTCTTTAACTATTTAAGAAGATATATTAAACTCACTAAAATTTCACAAATTTAGCTTATAATTCTTAAAAATTTGGTTCTCCTGCTTTTGTTCAGTGTATCTTTAAGATAAATCAATATTCGAACTTTTCCATATAAGAAAAAGTTATAGTTGTATTGGTGCAGGTGTATGAGTAGAGAAGGGCTGGGGAGCAGCCAGCCAGTAGCACCTCAGTTTTGCATTCCATTTGGTGTATTTAAGAAATGACTAAAATCTATACTTGTAAAAGTAACAAGGAGAATTTCAAAGATGACTTTACCCAGTCATGTTATTTTTCATGAGAGAGTAATGCTGTTTTCTTGGAAGTTACTGAAGTAGTTCGCGTATTTATATTTACATACCTGTATTTAAAAATAGATCCAGTATTTTGCTCTGCTTTCATTGTAGTGGCATTCTTGTCTGTCAGCCTAAGATACAAATTGCCATGGATATTGTTAGTGTTGTCTGATTTCATGTTACTAAATCACAGTTTATAGAATTTCTGTTTCTGAAGCTTTAAAAATATTTCTTAGTATAATTTAATCTTTCTGCAGAACTCCAACCTCAGTTTAATGAAGTCTGTCGAGAAAATTGCAGGAATCTGTCATCCACTCTTGTTACCCTTAAGTACCTCTGGAGAATACTTGAATGCAGATCTGTCCGAGGAGGGCTTTTGTTTTCAGAGTATTGTCTTAGTCGATTCACGCTGCTATAACAAAATCCTTCAGATTGAGTAGTCTGTTAACAATAGAAATGTACTTCTCACAGTCCGGAGGCCGGGAAGTGAAAGGTCAAGACTCTAGAGGTTGGATGTCTAGTGAGGGCTGCTCTCTGCTTCAAAGATGGCGCCTGTTGCTGCATCTTTACTTGGCTCAAGCAGAAAAGGCCGTACAAGCTCCCTGGGGCCTATTTTTCAAGGGCACTAACCCAGATCATGAGGGCTTTGCACTCATGACATAATTACCTACCAAAGGCCCCATCTCTTAGCAACACCATGAAGGTGATTAGGTTTCAGCATGAATTCTAGAAGGGTGCAAACATTCAGACCATGGCAGTAACTAACTAAAAATGTATTTTCTATGATCCCTAACTTAGGTACGTAATTGCTATTTACTGTCATACTAAATTTTTAATAGAAGAATGTCAAGTTTTTAAAGGCTCTCTACAATAAATATTAAATAGGAAATGTTCATTAAATTTTTGGTTGGGATATTTTGGGTCTTTGTCTTTTAAAATAAGGTTTTTGTTATATGACAAACAGCAATTTGCTGAGGGGTTTCTTGGTTACTGTTCTACAGAATTTAATTACAATGCATTAAGAATACTGGGGGCTTCTCCCTACTAAGCAGTTACCACATTATAAAAGTTTATCAAATGTGTGCCTTTATAAAACTTGCTGAGATTTGGGGAAAAGTGGAAAAGAGAGGCACAGAAATAACAGGGCATTTTTCCAATAGTGGGGTTAGAAGAGATTTCTGTTGTTTTATTATGTATGTAACTGTGGTTGGCATTATAATTTTCAGGTAATTATTGCTAAGCCATCTCACAATTCTTTTGCTAATTAAGGTACAAATGAGATCTCCAACTTGAAAAGATGTCTTTGATTTTGTCACTTTCAGGTCAGACTATGGGAGGTACATGTTGATTTTTTTCTTTACCCTGGGAGACAGTCTTGTCCCCCCTTTCGACTGCTGCAGTCCCCCTTGTCACCGTGTACACTTGCTTTATTCAGTTGGCCTCCCCCAGTCATCCTGATTTCACCTCTTAACCAAGTCATGATACACAGCACTCCTTCTTCCCATTAGCCTTCAGAAATCCTTTTTCATCAACATCACTTCCTTTGCTAAAAAGTTGTAAGAGCCTCTTCATGGCCTGGAAGGTAGAAAGCTCTAAGTTAGTGGTGACTATTTTGAATTATTTCTACAGTCCCCTATTCGTTTCTTTCTTCCTCTGAACTCCCCTAACCCTTATTGTCTTTACATATTTAATCACTTGACTGTGTATGATACTGTTCTTGGTTTCAACTTATGTGAAAAAGTATGAGTTTCTTAAATGGAAGGATGTAGATCATGTTTTTTTTTAAATCCCTAAAGCTTTCAATTAGTGAAGTGAATTGAATTATATCAATATATATTATTTTGCCAAGATTTTAATTATTTTCTACAGTTTAGGCACTGTAGAATTGCACAGTTTAGGCACTCAATTATATTATTGGAGTACATTTTAAAGTTTATTATGTATCTGCTGAATACACAGTATGGAGAAGCAGGAAAGGCAGCTCATGCTTGCTTACACTTTCATTATTTTGTTATATTTTAGTTTATATTAGCATTTAAAACCAAATTTTGTTTTGTTTTGTTTTTTTGAGACAGAGTCTCAGTTTGTTGCCCTCAGTAGAGTGCTGTGGCGTCACAGCTCACAGCAACCTCCAGCTCTTGGGCTTAGGTGATTCTCTTGCCTTAACCTCCCGAGGAGCTACAGGCGCCCAGCTATTTTTTGTTGTTGTTGTTGTTGCTGTTGTTGTTGCAGTTTGGCTAGGGCTGGGTTTAAACCCGCTACCCTTGGTATATGGGGCTGGCACCCTACTCACTGAGCCACAGGCGCCACCCTAAAACCAGAGTTTTAAAAAAAACTTTTTTAAAACCAAATCTATAGCAATTATGTCAAAGATGTTGAGGTATACATATGTGATTTAAAACAAACAAAGAAATTATCTTTAATGACTGCTTGGAATCGTATTCTTATAAAATATAAGTCAATATTCTTATAAGTTTTTATGATTTTTCATTTCAGAAAGCTTATAATTAAAATTTAACATTTTGAGATAATACTTAAGAGCAAGAGAGAAGGGAATATATTTTATTCTCTTTAATATTTATTTACTTTGTGCTTGGCACAGTTCCTCATATATTACCACAATGAACTTAAGAGATATCGAATGTCCCGAATTATTATTAAAAGATAAAGGAAATTGGGTACAAGATCCTGCAGCATGTGAACAGTAGTGCTGTCGCGGACACTGGCTGACTGCGGAGCCTCTTTCCTCCGTGTCATCATGAAGCCTTCATCATCATTGAGAGTGTTTAGGAAAATGAAACAATATTGAGAGTGGATAAAACAATGGAATTATTAGCAATATATATATAATAACAGTAGTCCTGGTAAAAAAAATTTGTAAGAGGAAATGGCTGCATCTACTATTTTGGAAGTTTCCACCCGATAGAAAAGTTAAAATAAGGCTGAGGCAGAGGATTGCATGAACTCAGGAGCTGGAAGCTACCATAATCTGTGCAGCTACCGCTGCACTCTACCCAAGGTGACAGAATAAGACTCCATCTCGTTTTTTTTAAAGTTAAAATAATAAAACTAAGATCATGTATTCTGTATCTATATTCACCAGTATAACATTTTTCCATATTTGCTCACTCTCTTTCTATGCGCGCACACACACAGACACTTTTTTTTTTGGTCGTTTGAAACTAAGTTTTGGATATACTGGCACTTTCATACTTGAGCATAGATTTGTTAAAAAATAAGGACTGTCCTTATAACAATTATAATACCTAAGAAATTTGACATTAACTCAATAATATTATCAAATGTCCATCCCGTATTTCCCTGTGGTCTCAAAACTGTCTTTTATGCCTGAATTTTTATTTACTTTTTCCAATCCAGTATTTAGCCAGGGTTTCTTTATTTTTTTAATGCCTTTGACTTTTTTTGAAGAATCCTGGCCAGCTTTCTTTAGAATTTCCCACATTCTGATTTTGTCTGATTGCTTTTTAAGGATTAAATCACCTGAATTTGTCATGCTAAACATTTTTCACAGTGATGGCACATCTGTGCTGTTGTGTACTTATAATCACACCATATCAGAAATCTTCTAATGCCAACATGTAATTTATGATCTATTTATTTGTAATTGGCAGCCATGACTTAATTGCCTGAATTATTTTTTCATTTTTCAAACAGACTACAACTGAACGTCCTTTCATTCAGAAGCTGTTCCGGCCTGTGGCTGCAGATGGACAGTTACACACACTAGGAGACCTCCTCAGAGAAGTCTGTCCTTCTGCTGTTGCTCCTGAAGGTAATTAATCAGCAGCATTAAGACATTCCTTTTATTCCCTGTTCTAAGCCCTTGATTACTATGGTAAAATAAGCATGTATAAATAACAGATGATTTTAGGAAGATATTTTCATTATCTTTGAGGGGAAAAATCTTTTGAAACAGAAATATTGAATATTTAATATATTATTTTATAAACTATTGACCCTATTGAAAGAAGGAATTGATTCTCTTTAGCAAAATAAAACAGTCTTTAAATTACCCTGTTACCACATCTCTGTTTCTTGGATTTTTACTCTATAAATTTATTTCTGGTAAATATTATTTTAATCTGAACACTTTTTTTCTTAATCATAAAGAAGTCAGAAGTGGTAAAAATGATTTTCTTTGATAGGTGAAAGTTGAAAATACTAATAATGAAAAACTATTTTATTTGAACTTTCTGCTGTTTTCTGCTTGGATCTTCTTTACTCGACACTGTTCCTTCAGGCTTTGACATTTTATAAGTCCGTTCAAGAACTTGGCCTGTTTGATGAGCCTCTGATTGTTTCTTAGGTTCAAGTTGTTTTCCTGTGGGCAAAGGAAAAGTATAAAAACTGCTGAAATCAATTCTGTTTTCTTTCATTGCAACATTCAGAACACAATAAAAGAAAAACATGTTCAGAATCTCATGGCTTACAGTTACCACTTTTGACACACATGTGTATATATAGTCAGTCCTCTGTTCTGTATTAACAGGTTCCACGTACATGGATTCAGCCAACTGAGATCAAAAATACGGGGGTTAAAGGAATGCTAGCATCTGTATTGGAGATATAGACTTTTTTTCTCTTGTCATTAGTCTCTAAACTATACAGCATGACAAGCTATATGCAAATATTATACCATTTTTTGTTAGAAGATTTAACATCCGTGGATGTTAGTATCTGCAGGGCTCCTGGAAGCAGACCCCCACAGATACGGAGGGACAGTTCAGTGTGTGGGTGTCTGTGTAAAATGTCCTGCTGCTTTTCCTCTGATCTGTGCCCTATTATTCATTGACTTGACTCTCAGCCCTATTATTGATTATTAAACTATAGGAGACATTTTCAGTGGCATATTACTATGTGCAATAATATATAGACTTCATTTGTTATACGTAGAAAAAAATTTTAAACTTACTACTTTAAATCTTTGATGGAGGTAAGGCATTAATAAATATGAAGGTGATACTTTAATAGATAATGCTGTTTTTCTTATGAATATATTAAAAGTTGGAGGATTGCAGGATTACTTGGATGATTTGTAATTACACCACACAGTTAGAGAAGCATGCCAAGGCTAAGGAAGTGGTTTGCCTAAAAAGTAGAATTAGAAGCAGTGGATCTGGGGTTAATGTTGACATTTCAACCTGAATAATTTAACAAAGACTATGGAGCTCAAAATCTATGTCATTTGGTCTGTGGATATACCGATTTCCTTTAATCAAGCATGCTTGCTATACTGGCATTCCTGTTTGTAAGTAGCACTTTTAGAATGAACAGAGGTTCAATAGGAAGTGAGAAGAGGGGCATCTAAAATGCCTTCAGAACTAGTAACAGAAGGAATCAAAGGACAGACCATTGGCCACTACCCCAAATTATTAATATCAAGCAGGATTTATTTTTATTTGTTTGAGGTTGGAAATAAGTTTTTATCAAGTCTTAATGTATCGTATACCTTCACTGAACTTTACTAGATTGTATAGTCCAAGTTTCTGATGATGTCTTACACGTGTCCTCCTATCTTTCGTGTTGGGGAAATATTTGCTGAACATTCCAATTATTGAGTTCTGTCTCTGAATAATCATTACCCTGAAGCATATTTCTGATGATCATTAAATCATGGAGTAATTAACATTAAATCAGTTAACATACTGTCTTAAAATTCTAATTCATTTGTACTGCTGTGCAATTTTAGTTTTCTATACGAATTTTAGTTAAATAACGTTTTTGACAATTCAGTGATATTTATAGAGTTGTGCAACCATCACCACAATGGAACATTTCCATCACCTCAGAGTGTTCACTTGTATTTATTTGCAGCCAATCTCTGATCCCTCTGCCAGTCAGAAACAACTACTGGTCTGCTTTTGGTCTTTGGATATTCCACATAAGTGAAATTATATAATACATTGTCTTTGCAACTGGTGTTTTTCACTTAGCATGACAGTGTTTCATCCACCTTGTAGTGTCTGTAGTTTGTTCCTTTTTAATTGGTGAATAACATTCCATTGTGTGGATATATCACATTTTGTTTATCCATTTTCCAATTGGTGGGTATTGGGATTGTTTCCAGCTTTTCACTCATCTGGATAGTACTGGTGTGAACATTTGCCTGAGCCTTTGTGCAGATATATGTTTTCGTTTTTCCTGGCTAGATTCCTAGGAGTGGAAACGTATGTAAAGGAACTCAGTAAAAAGTCTCTCTCCCAACTCCTCCTCTCTAAAGACATGTATTGCTTTTTTTGTATGTTTCTGTAGAGATAGTTAAGTAAACTTTTATTTTTGAACTGAAGTTACAGAAATGTTGACTGGGGAATTCCCAGTAACTTTAATTAGGGATTAATTACCATTCCAGTTCGTTTTCTCTATGTTGTAAGGATGTTTGTTTTTAATCTATTTAATGTTTATTTTCACTGTATTCTCGAGGATTTTGTGACATAATGTAAATTAGACCATTTTTTCAGTTGAAGTGTAATGAAGGGGCTAATAATATTTATCTCTGGTAGAGATGAGACCTATAAGCCTCATGCCTTTCCATGGCATCATTGGCTTTCAATTATTCATTTCTCTGGGCTTGATTCTCCTTGCTTTTTGTGTACCTTGTAGTAGTATTTTAAATAACATTGAAAAAGTACTGTCTTGGTACATTTATGTTTCTATAAAGGAATATCTGAGTCTGGGTAATTTAATAAAGAAAAAAAGTTTCTTTGGCTCAGGGTACTGCTGACTGGAAAATTGAGCCCCTGATGAAAGCCTCAGGCTGCTTCCATTTGTGGCAGAAGGCAAAGGGAAGCTGCTGTGGATAGAGGTTGCCTGGAGAGAGAGGTGGGGGAGTTGCCAAATACTTTAACAGCCAGCTCTCAGGGCAACTAACAGGTCAAGAACTCACTCCCTCTCCCTATCATCCTATTCATGAGCCCCCATGGCCACACACTTCCATTAGGCCCTACCTCTGCCACTGGGAATCAAATTTCAACATGGGGTAGGGGACAACAACCATAGCAAATGCTTTTATCAATTAAGAGGAATTGAAATTTAAGCTAAAGTTTAATATTCAACTTTATTACACTTTCCAAGTTTTGACAATCTACTTTCAAAAATAGGTTGTTTTAAATTGACTTTTTTAGTCAGATCTTTAATTATTGAAAATGTTACAATGAAAATGAAAAATTTGGAAGAAAAATCCTCTATAATGATCTGCCCCCCAACCAGCAGCATAATGGTCCCATACACAGGTTGATTCATATTTGCTAGTGCCAGCTCTCTCTTTATACGCATCTTTAAAGAATTGTGTAACTGTAGAATCTTTGAGTTAATTTAGTTCCATCTCTTAATTTTTAGGTGATTTACCAAAGGTCTCTTAACTACTTAAAGACTCTCTTGTTCCCCTAAATTTATAGTTAGGCTACCTGGAGAACACACAGTGTGATTTCCCTTTTGTTTTTTTGAAGAGGGGGTCAGTGGGATGGCCATATAATTTTAATCCACAAACCTGCCTCTTAAGTGATGTCACATGGTATATGTGAGTACTTTTGTACTTCTCAAAGATTGAGAGGGGACAAAGGTGGGGACAGACTTCTTCCCCACCTCCCAACTGTCAAATGCTTATATTGATTGGGGGATATACACTTCATTGAAATGACATAAGTAAATGGTACCTATACTTTGGTGGCATTTTTGATGTTAACCTTTCATACCAAGAAGAGGCTACATCTCTCAGTCTCTAACACCAATATCTTTTCTTATTGTTTTTTTGGTGGTTTTGGTTTGTGTTTTAGAGACAGGGTCTCACTCTGTCACCCAGGTTGGAGTATAGTGCCATGATCACAGCTGACTGAAACCTCAAGCTCTGGGACCCAAGCAATCCTCCTACCTCAGCCTCCCAAATATCTGGGACTACAGGTGCACAACACCATCCCCAGCTACTTGTATTTTGTAGAAACAGGGTCTTGCTGTGTTGCTCAGCTGGTCTTATGCAGTCCTCATCCTTGACCTCTCAGGGGGCTGGGATTGTAGATGTGAGCCATGGTGCCCTATTACCTTTTCTTTAGAAAAATTTTTATCTTTGCCTCTTCCTTTTGTCACCTTATATCAGGAGATCACTGTCATTCTAAAGTCTGTGGTGAGTACCCAAAACATCAAGTCGCTATTTCAGTAAACTGTTAATGTCAGGTTAAAGACACCTGTGGTATTGTCAAATGTAAAGCATTTCAACACACCTATTTTCAACTTAAGGTGAAAGCGAAAGACTTTAAGATTGGGTGTGTATGGATGAGAACTGGCTGTCATCACATGATAAAAAGAGAAAGTACTTCATAAAAATTATGTGGCACCATTGTCTACTACTCCCTACAAGTGATTCAGGCACAAAGGAATTTTGTCTTATTTCATCGTATGAAAGGAGAATGTACTGTTGATGAGGACGTGCTTTAGGCCACTATTCTCATGGAGTAACTAATGATGAGCTGTTTTGTGTGTTTCTTTCTTTCCTTTTTTTTTTTTTTTTTTTTGGTAAGTGGCTGGGGAAGTTAGTCAAGTTAGAGGTAACAGGAAATGACCAAAGGTGAGCTCAGGTAAATTGTTTTTGTGGTTTCAGCTGTAGTTAACATGACTCAGAGATCTAAGCTTCTGTCCCAGACCTGAAGTGAAATACTTTTTACTGTGGATACTCCTGTCTTTGCCCAGTCACCTCATTTCCAGTCTTCGAGAGTATGTTGATTAGTCTTCTGTAAGAATTGGGCTGTTCCTGTCCCGAGTTCATGTTGGATTTTGAACAAA